GTGGCACACCCGACTAGTTGTACCTACAGATTTTTAGGAGGTACAACTAGACGTAGGTACAAGTAGATGTAGGTACAACTAGACGTGTATCCCACCGACAAGTAGTATCGCCTAGCTTGTACGGATGTGACCAGTTGTCCCTACGACTAGTAGTCCCTCCGTCTAGTGGTTCCTACGTCTAGTTGTACCTACGACTAGTTGTACCTACGCGTATTTTGCGTCCTTATAGTCTAGTTGTATCTATCCTTCAATTCGTTACCCTGTTTAATTGATTACTGCACGAGTACTTTTTAATAATACCCTTAATTAAATCAGGACTGCAGTGTTCCGAGTCAATTGAGTATGATTTGCAAATATTTTTCACCACACTACGATGTTCTAGTAGTTTTACAGACGTTAATTGGAGGCTGAAAGCTACGCATTGCTGTCCAGTGTCGAAATGGCAGCTATAGTTGTAATTAAAATTTTCCAGCCCTAGTACCGAAAATCGTTTATTTAATTAAAACATTTTATATATATCATTAAATATACAAGCAGTATATCCTTAATGAATGCAATAGACCGCTGCCTAGCAATTATGTATTACTATTTTTGCTGATTCCTTTAAATATTTTGTCACATAACCTTAAAGTATTTGCATTGATTAGTGTGCATTTCTTATAGTTTACAATGGATTTCCCAGTGAACAATGAACAATGAAGTTGAGGTCCAGTGGTTGAAAACTCGACAAAAACTATGCAATGTACAGACTTTTCTATTCAACATACACTGCAAATAATACATGTGATTGGAATATTTTCCATTTGTTTTGATTTTATTTTCATAATTAGTTGTTATTTCGTCACCAGCATAGCAACCCGTTAAACCCATGTTAGTTTTTAAAAATTTGTAATTCTTTTTTTATTGTCTTTTTAGCCTATTTTAATTTATAAAGGCATTCTGTAGATCGACAGGAAAATACATTTCTACCGATATGCGGATATTTTCTCTGTGATGTTCACGATCTGATAAAAAGGTTGTAAAGAAACATGCTTGCCCATTTTATTGACTAGCTGTTGTACCCGTGCTTTGTAACGGGAAGAGAACACGAAATAGAAACATTTTGATCTTTACATCTGTTGATAAAATAGTTACACACTAGTGTACATGTTGCTCGAATTCGAGCAATTGCAAAGTATTACAGGGGTATTTTAAAACGAATAACAGTCATATTTACAATAAGTTTAAAAGAGTCAACTCAAAGATTACCATTGTGTAACTCATGGAGATACTCAATATGTATATGACAGTAATCATTTCCTGTAAATATTTTATATCATATTTCATAACCTGGTATTGCTTTTTAATGCTTTATACAAACATTTCCTGACTTCTAGCCGTATAAGGTTGTCCATGTTTATCTTCGTTTTTGATAAACCTAAACTAAAGCATTCCGACCGGTTTTCTCCTTCTCAAAATGCCTCGCTGACAGACAACACAGATCATTGATAGAGGGCCAATTGATAACGAAAAGTCGTTTTGGGGTAGTGTTAGGGCGCATTTGTAACCTAATAGTTGAGATTGCCCAGGGCCAGTTGCTGACTGTGATGAGTTGAGCCATTGACTATATACACCTCTACACCTAACCTAGTAGAGGTGTATAGTCAATGGTTGAGCCTATTAAGTGTCACTGTTCTGTAGCTGCGGTCGTTCTCACGATTACGCCTCCTGTCTATGTTTAGTTGTCGTAGCGTCAGAGGCATTTCAAAGAAAAAAACAACAAATAAACAAATTATAGCTACACAAAACGCACAAATAAACGCACAAATTTAAGTTACAATCATGCTAACACGATCCGTCAAAGTACACAAAACAACGATAAATACACAAATTTATCATACAACCATACTAACACGATCCGTCTTGGGGTTATGTTTACACAAACTCAAATAGTAAACAAATGTTCTCAATGCGTTTCATTGAATTGAAAAATAAATACTGTAACAGCAATTAAATTATACAGCTGATCAAAATGTAAACAATTATGTTCTCCATAAGGATAACATGGGAACTTTCAAAGCCACTGGAGCAGAGCCCAGGGGACGCTTTCAAAAATGTAAGGCCAGTTTGCAAATCTACGCGACACGCTCTTTCCAATGAGACGTCAATGGATAAAATCGGTTAAGAAATGGCGGAGGAGTTCAACCGACAAAGTTTCATGTAGCGTATTAATTATATAGATAAGCCTTTTAAAAACAAAATTATGCCTTTATGGCCTGTAATAGGATAGCTGTTGTCACAAATGTAAAAAAAATAATAGTACTGCACCCTGTTGGTAAACCTTGTAACTTTTTAATGCTATTCAATATCATAGAACCAACTTGTGTAGTTGAAACAGCTGACAAAATTCTTTTATTCCTTTTAAATACGATTACTCATAAGGTTAACATGGGAAACTCCAGAGCCGCTGGGGCGGAGCCCGAAAGGACTTTAAGAATGCGTCTATATGTTAATCGGGAATGTGAGCTATCTTCATACCAAATTTCAGCCCAATCCGACCACTATTTTTTGCGTTTACTTGTCACAAACATACATCCATCCATCCATACATCCAAACTTTCTCATTTATAATATTAGTAGGATATATTTTCTCAGCTTTGTATAGTTTGGTGAAAAATAGCAACCGTACCACGGGTCGATTTCATCTTCGTGACTAATACCATACAAAAACACTTCATTATACTCAATTACTTGTTTTTGTAAACTCTGAATTTATTTATTTAAGATAATTGTTTAAAGTTGTTGTTTAACCTAGTTAATGTTAGTTTTCTATAGAAAGGTAGAGTTTTAGTGGAAAACACAATGATAGCAGATCTTTACAAGAAATAAGGAAAACCAAAGTGTAATATGGATAAGGACTGACCAAGGGACACAAGTACATTGTTATTAAGAACAGGGGTTTCTCAATGAGCTGCAGACAAGCCAAATTTTCCTGGCTTTTGTAGCAAGTTGTTTATAAAAAATTGTTGCAAGATTGTATGAATTTAAAGAAATAAAATAAATCCCTTAAACTGGTGACAAGTTGAAGGGGAGATACAACTAGCCGTAGGTACAACTAGACGTAGGTACAAGTAGGCGTAGGTACAACTATTCATAGGTACAAGTAGTCGTAGGTACAAGTAGTCGTAGGTACAAGTAGTCGTAGGTACAAGTAGTCGTAGGTACAAGTGGTCGTAGGTACAAGTAGACGCAGACGTATGAGGTACAAGTAGACGGTGGCGTACGCGACTAGTTGTACCTGTAGAATTTTAAGAGGTACAACTAGACGTAGAGACAACTAGTCGTAGGTACAACTAGACGTCCGCACCATCGTCAAGTTGTACCTTCAGCTTTGGACGAGGTACAACTAGACGCCTGTCACCAAAATGCAGCAGGTACAACTAGACGCCGGTACAAGTAGACATCGCCCCGATATCAAGGTTTGCTAAAAGAACACCGCAGACGACACTGGAGCCTGAGTGGACCACAACTACGGCACCGGCTCTTGAGCTCTGACAAATGACAAGTAACATCGCAACCAACACTCCAGCAATAAAAATCAGTTGCTACCAACTAGTTCCCTCTACCACAAAAAATACAACCAGCTAGTCAGTATTAGTGGGGATTTTATCTTGTACATAACTTAACTTGTTGGGAGGTTTGTCAATATCGTTAAAACTTTATTACCTAAACTTTTGTTACCTAAACTTCATTCAATATCGAAAACCGATATTGACAAAATTCTTCCAATGTCACAATAATATTGAAAGCCCAATACCGATACAATATTGAAAATATCAAAACATCGGTATGGATTGATATCGATAATATTTTAAATCCCTATTTCAGTTGTGATTCGATTGTAAGCTGGTGATTGTTGTGTTCTTGTGTTGTGATCAAATACACATCACCACAGAACAGATTATTATCAACACATGCACATACTTTGATTGGTATAAGGAGAATGCAGGAGGAATCTAACCTAATTTCAAAATACTTAACTTAGGCCTAATTCAGTCTCGAATCTGCACTAGTCCGACCTGCCCTCCCCGCATGCCTAAAATAAGATCAGTGCTCAATTTTTGTTTTTAGATGAGTTATTTCAATTTTATTTTTTTGACAGATAATTATTAAAACAAAAAGAGTAGGCCTATGGATTGTTAAAAGGTAATTGAATGTCATAATTGGCTCTATCTAAATAAACATTCTCAACATAACTTATCGTGCTGCTGTAATGAGTTGGGCCGGGAATATTCCCAGTGGGAGGGAAGCTTTTGACATGGTTTGTTCAAAAGCTGGTGTGTGGTGTGCAGGCCTGTGGTGTGTACAGCGTAATTTAAAGTTTTTCTGTCTCATAAAGGTATTAGTTTCAGTAGCCCTATAGGCCTAGTAGTTTACGCAACGACCACATTGAGACTATTAAGCAAGTTGTCTAAATTGTCTAAATTGTCTAAATTGTTGCGTACACTAAGTTAGTTTACCGACCGTTTTTTTAATTACTTACTATTACTAAGTACTCATAATTTCTATAAGAAGTTACATTTTTGTCTTTTTGCCACTGACAGTGATGCAATAACTCATTGCACCAACCACTAATTGCACCACTCAACAATTAAATTGGTTTTAACAGCTGGATATTAGTTGAAGCTTGAAGCATTACAATTTGTAAAAAAATGCTGTTAAGTAAGTAAACAATGTTGTTAAGTAAATATTTTCAATTCTAAGAACAGAACTGAAATGGCTAGTTTAAAAAACGGTCGAAGGTAAAGAAGTTAACATTACCCCAATATTCTTTTTATATGTAATAATCGTAGGCTACTATACCTATAATACACCACCTATAATACACCTATAATACACATATATTGACACCTATAATATACACCTAATATACAACACCTATATTTTAGCTCTAAACAATAGGCAACTAACATAAAAGATTACAAAAATATGTTTTACTAAAATGAATTGTATTTTTTCAGTGCCTGATTCTCTTGAGTTGAAAAAGAAAGTAAATGATATTGAGGAATTCCTTTTGCAAAACCCATCACCTCCTTTGGGAAAACTGAAAAACTTTGCTCTCTCAGAAGGTGGATTAGTTTGTGGTAAGTGAGCGTTTGAAAATATTTAACACGTAATATTTACTGTATAAATAAGCTCACATCATACACTAGTTGTTCAACACAACCGGTAAATATAAAGGTTGCAAAGATTAACATCAATAATATTCACATTGGTCTGTCTTGTGTAACTTAGGCCTACCCAATACAAAAAGCAACTCACAAGCATTGTAAAGCAAGATCATAGATCCTTCATAAATTCGTCATGGTGCACACAGGATGTCCAGCCAACTTGAAAAAAAGAAAACCGAAAATTACACATGAGGTTAGATTAACAGAAAAACAAATTTTTACATAAATTTTCCATGGATCCTGGAACTAATAGATTTCTGAATAATCACATTTTGTTTCCTTTTTAAATAGCTTATGAACATTGTGGAAAATTATCACAAAGTTCATCTACTGTAAGCGTACGACTTTTTTGTGAGCCGGGTGTGCGGGGGAGGGCGGTAGCAATCTCCCACCGCAGCCAAAGTTTCCGTGGCATTGGTCGGACTACGCTTTCTAAAAACATTCGACCAGCGCTGTTCACGTTGATTTCCTTTTTTGCTTACGTTATTTTAGAATTTAAATTAGAATATGATTCAAGTACCACACAACGCAATTACTGTGGGTTCTATATTATTGTTTTTGTTCTGTAGTAGAGTATAATTAATTTTGATATAGGCCTAACTATGTAAAATGCTCACCAAACGGTAAAAACATAGTATATTCCAATTTAATTGTAAAGTTTGACTTATTAGGTGTAAACCATTAATTGAGTTTATAGGTGATATCTTAAGATGTAGTACTTTATGTAAAAACACATACATATATACCTATAAACAGAAAACCATAAGGTTTAGTACATATAATTGTGAAAACTTTTTGCTTACTTTCATATTATGTATGTTTAATAAAATTATAACAGGTTACGTACCTTGACGTCCACAATTCCTTAGTCGGTATCCGTTGACTATAGTTTCGACTACTACGTAGTCATTATCAAAAACGGATCGTTAAAATATTACATTTGTTGAATGTCGTCAAATCTTAAATACATCGAACACACAAACAAACATAACACGAACACGGTAGACATTTAACATAATTGGCCGGCCGGCACACGTCACTGAACTGGTCGACGACGATGACTAACAGGACATGACAGTCATCGTCGTCGATCAGTTCAGTGACGTGTGCCGGCCGGCCAATTATGTTAAATGTCTACCGTGTTCGTGTTATGTTTGTTTGTGTGTTCGATGTATTTAAGATTTGACGACATTCAACGAATGTAATATTTTAACGATCCGTTTTTGATAATGACTACGTAGTAGTCGAAACTATAGTCAACGGATACCGACTAAGGAATTGTGGACGTCAAGGTACGTAACCTGTTATAATTTTATTAAACATACATAATATGAAAGTAAGCAAAAAGTTTTCACAATTATATGTACTAAACCTTATGGTTTTCTGTTTATAGGTATATATGTATGTGTTTTTACATAAAGTACTACATCTTAAGATATCACCTATAAACTCAATTAATGGTTTACACCTAATAAGTCAAACTTTACAATTAAATTGGAATATACTATGTGGACGTCAAGGTACGTAACCTGTTATAATTGATTACCAATTCCGGAAGGCTTCAACATTAATAAAAAGTTTAATAAAACTTTATAATATCGGACGGGTTTTCCGAACAACCTGTAAAATGGTTAATGGATTGCAGTTATTTATGTTATATCCCTAAGTTGATAAATCAAAACTCGGTCTCCTAATGTCGCAAAGTATTTTATGACAATATTTTATTACCTCATTTTATTACTTAGAAAGAGTGTTGTATTCTATCGTGTTCTATCGACTGTCAGTTTATTGGACTGTGTTGTGGAGTCGAGTAGTGCGGTTGAGTAATTAATGAGTGATTTTAAGGTGTGGATTAAAAATGTGTTAGGCTAACTTAGGTTAATATCATGGCAACCACCCGTAAAAAGGGCAAACCATTCACAGTGAAGCGAGGGAAATTATAAAACCATTAGGCGCCATGTGTTGGTTCACGCCGTGGGTTTACGCATCCGCTGGGAGTAGAAGTACAGTAGTATAGACAACATTTTTAGGGCGACTAGTAGCACCGGGCTGTGGTAGGGGCCCCTCCTGGCCGCAGAGGCGGTGGAGGGGCCACGCGCAAACAAGTAGTGCACTTACAGTAGTAATAGTATGATAAATTGCTGATCTCATTATAAATGTGAAAGTATTACGGACATTCTTGCAATCACAGTTAATCATCATGGATGTTTCCACAATAACGAGAGATGACTTAAGATATTGTCCCAAGCTCAGAAAAAAGTATCAGTTGTTGCTATGACCGCAGGAGATAATCATGGGTGCATATTCGCCAGAGATAATGAAAAATATTGTCATGTCGGTGGAACATCATCACAGTTTTTAGTGTGATCGCTGATCATATTGCATGTTACATTTATGATGTGGCATTTAAAACCAGAGTTAACTATGAATTGGAGGTTTTCAGATTCAAACTAGTGTAGATCATCTAACCATAGTTTTCCCATTTTACAATCAAAGTTAATTCGCCGTTGACAAAACTGAATTGTTGCCAAGTGGATGTAGTGCTGGCGTTTCTAAAATAGTAATTTTCCGAGGACCGATATGTTGTCATTGGGGTTCAAATCAATTAATGATGCTTTCTAACAAAATGTTGATGGTAGATTGTAACAAATTCCAGGGTTTGGACCTCACATAAAGTAAAAAATGTCAATGCTGTTGAAAAAAAAAAACACAAATAAAACAACCAATAGCTGATGAGGAATTCCTCGCATTGTAACCAACATCAATGTTGCTAACTAGCTGTTTGTTGACAGATGAGGTACGCAGGAAAGTGTGGCCTCTACTGCTTTCACTCGATCCTGAAAAAGCGGAGCCGGCCCCAGCCCTAGAGACTTTGAGGGCTCATCCTGAATATCAGCAGGTAAGTTTGTCAACTTTGTTATGAAATTTATGATTTTTAGTACTGTATCGGGGTGACGGATAACAGAGAGGTTCTTCTGTACTAACGTACCCTCCGTAGTCGTCACACTCGTTTGTAAGTGGATATAATGGCAGAGCAACGCGATCTCTCTGACGGTTTCTTAAGTTTGAATTTTGTTAGTTGATTCATGCTTTTACTTGACCCTACTACTAAAAAAGATGCAAATGTAGTCAACTGCCATTTTGGATTTTGTGAAGATTTTAAGTCTGTTGTTCTAACTACTGAGGATACTGTTTACTGATTATTTGAATTAGGATGTTAATATGTTGGTTCAACAACTGATGTCCCGTAGGTGGTGTTGGATGTGAACAGGTCGCTAAAGCGGTTCCCTCCCGGCATCCCGTACAACCGACGAGTGGCGCTGCAGGATCAGCTGACTACCTTGATCCTACGAGTCATCTCCAAGTACCCTCACCTACGATACTACCAGGTACTCTTATGAGAACTAATGTTTCTCACGGATTTAAAAAAATTGTAAGAAAATTATGTGTATAGCATTACCCGATGAACTATATGAAACACTAGAATGAACACACTCTGAACAGGAAGATGGTTTGCCGGCTGCCATATTTGAACTGGGTAAAAAAGCTGTGCAAACCTATACTTTTGTTTCATGATGTTGTAATTTATTGCACATTCATAAATTTATTTAAAAACAAATTTTGTGAGGATAGCAAGCTAATCTGAATGGGAAATAGTCCAAACTGGCACAGGAGACACAAAACTTTACACTAGGGCCTATACACAAAACGTTAGTTCTGTGTACTTACTAAATGTTTTGTGTTTATGTGTATAGTGTAAAGTTTTGTGTTTCTTGTGCCAGTTTGGACTATTTCCTGTTCAGGTAAGCCAGGCTACCCTCACACAATAAATCCTTAAAACCTATGTTATATAATTTATTTAAACAATGTATACAGGGTGTCCACATACTGGAAAGTCAGGGATTGTCACGGAAAGTCATGGGACAAAATTCTGGTCACTGAAAGTCATAGAAATAGGGGAAAGTCATGGAAATCCCCAATAATGGATGGTTTTGAGGGGACCATTTAATGCTCTAGTCGGCCTTAACCCCAACTACTGTAGCATTTTTTAGGATTTTTCACAAATGTTCAACAATTCAATTTTTTATAGCTGTATTAGTTTATGAGTTTTGAGTTTGTAGTAGTTCATTGTTGTACCTATTGTACTCCAATGTTATCTGTTAATACATATTTCAGTATTTCTGCGAAATAACTTGTCTAGGCAGTATTATTCGTGTGTGTATGTTATATTACAATTTTCGTAAGTCTTGGAAATCAATTGTAAATGGTCATGGACAAATAAATGACAAATTTTTTGTGTACACCCTGTAAAGTTTTTTTTTTTAATAATAAAATATCATCTAAACAAAGCAATTTAGGCTAGTCTGTAATGAATATGCATAAAATACTTGTTTTTTACCATACTCTTTAAAAAAACATTTTCCAACAGACTTCCCACTTAAAAAAAAAACAAAAAAAAACAGATAATTGCCTCCTTTGCAGAGTGTGGATACTGGGTAGGCTATGGTTTAGGAACTTAGTGGCAGCAAAGTGTAACTTATTTGACATATTAGAGCAGAATCTGTCTGAGGCTATTTCAGCTTCTAGAGCTTAGCAGACTCAATAAATGAGAATAAGTAGTATTTCAACTGTTTCAAACTGTTGTATGTTCTATAGGGATACCATGATGTGGCTGTCACTTTCCTGCTGGTGGTGGGGGAAGATGCAGCTTTTCAGATCATGGAACGTTTGTCCACGGATCATTTGAAGGACTGCATGGAACCCACCATGGATCGAACCTCGTACTTGCTTAACTACATCTTCCCACTGATACACAGGCTACATCCAGCGCTGTGCGAGTTCCTTGATAGGTAGGAGATGGATATCATCATAAATTATGTGTTTTCAAATTATACTGAAATGTTCACTATGTTTCTTATGATCGGAGTAAATGCTGTTTATGTGTGTTTAAGTAGTGTTTGTCTACATCCTGTTCTATTTTTAATTTATTGTAATGGTAAAAAATACAACCGTGTTGACAATTGCTCTAGGTCAATAGATAAAAAAAAGTAGGGATGGACGAGATTAGATTTTTAGTTCGAGACGAGACGAGACAAGATTTTTTATTTCTCATAAAATTTCGAGACGAGATCGAGACGGGATTTCCCTTCTCATACACAACGGGAAATCCACGTTCAAAATTTTTACCTGATTTTGTAACATTGTTAGATGACTGTACAAAACTATTTTTGACTATACAAAAATAATGATAATAGGTAAGAATATTTACAATCTTTTATTAAAAAACATCAGCATAACATTTTTTTATTAATCACGCCTAACTTATTAAAAATGCCTACGATTAGGAAACAGTGATATCAGTTAGGATAGAGTTCAACTTATCCTAAAATAAAATAAATCATAAAATAAAAGGAATATTAATTTTTATAAAATACTACTTTATAAAAGTAGTTACCGGTACTTGTTTTAACTTTTTATAGTAATAAAACATTCCTTACATTGCTTACACTTAACAAAACTTCTCAAATGTTATTATAGTAATATTATTCAAATAATTAAAGTAATATTTACATTTAAAAAAGAACTAATTAAATAAGAACGCCTTCGCAAAGGAAACACAACTACAACACGCTCCTGTATTGCGGGTATTGCATTGACTTTATGCAGGCGTTTTTAATTTTTTTTTTTATTTTTTATTCTCGTCTCGATAAAAATCTTGGCTAAAAAGAAATCTTGTCTCATGTAACGAGATTTAAAATTTCCCGAAAATTTCCCGAAATTTCGAGACTTGACCATCCCTAAAAAAAAGATAATGCGTGAATTGCTGCTTACCTTACATCAAATCTTATATTAGATAATTAACATTGTAGTAGTAACGGTGGACCAGGACCACCAAATGGTTGCTAATAAATATAGGCATAGATTATAAATGTTACATGGCATGACATAAAATCAATCATTATTCTTTTTAATCTTGTTTGAATGGTTGGAAAACGAATACACTCTGCTTCTTCACGAATAAGCTCTGCTTCTGCTCACTGCCAAAATATTGGCAAAGCCACCGGCCAAAATGTATTTTCATTAAAATCAAGCTTGTGTCAAAAAGGTTTAGGCCTACTGCTATATTGCTATTTTACTCTGGTTGTTTTGCAGGTCTTGTGTGGGCACCATGTTCTGTCTGCCTTGGTACCTTACCTGGTACAGTCACAGTCTAAACCGATACAGAGACGTGGTCAGACTGTACGACTACTTCCTAGCGTCCCCCCCACTACTGCCACTCTACCTAGTGGCTGCAATCGTAGCTCATCGCCAAGATGAACTGTTCTCTGTAGACTGTGATATGGCCACCGTGCACTGCCTTCTGTCTAACGTAGGTTGTAGTTAGGATCTATATTATTTTGAAAATTCCTCAAACAATTAATATATTGAACCTTGAGAGTTCAAGATTTGCACAAAAAATTGCTGGATGTTGTGAACAAAATAGCTTTTTAATACAGATGTTCTTACACAAGTGAATTATCAATGACTTTATAATAAGACTAGCTGTTGTACCCGTGCTTTGCAACGGGAAGAGGACACAAAATAGAAACATTTTAATTTTTACATCTGTTGCATATAGTAGTTACACATCCCCCAACGCTTTTAGAAACAAAATTCAACTTTTATGGCCTTAATAGAAACGTTTAAGTTATGACTTTTAAATCTAGTAAGTAGTGGATACCACCATTTCATCTCCCTTAATAACATATCTTTTTATTTATTATTGACATTTTAAATTTCAATTTTGAAGTTACTACTAATTATTAAATTTAAATGAACATTTTTTTAAATTTCACTCTTCTTTATATTAAATCACAAATCCTTCCATCTTCAGTTTCTTCACTCACAATAAATCGTTAGCAAAACTAAGTCAGCTGTTATAAACTTTAGAAATATTGCTATGCCTTTTCAATACAGTCTTTTGAAATATTAAAGAAACTATATCTATAGGTACTATAAAAAATTTCAAACAAATAATTTAGCATTAAGACAGCAGACGAAACTAATATGATTATCAAAGCATCAAGGACTAAACAATTTAACAGCAAATACAGTATATGTTTCATTACATCTCTGATTCTACTCTACAAAAATATCAACAAACAACTTAATATACAAACCAGTTCTTTTAATCAGTTCCATCGTCCATTGGCTTTACATTTTCACACTTACCATAAAGTCTAGTAACAGATATTTCATTGATTTTAGAAACCAAAGAACACTGTGTACTGCTTAGTTTTGTGATATTTTCCTTGGTTTAATTTAATCAGTGGTGTGGCAAAACACAAATAATAAATGTATCAAATAAAGTAAATGTGAACTGAAAGCTATGTTAAGATAAAATAAGAGTATTTTGTATTACCATTTGATAATTAATTATGGTTACACATATACAACAGATTAAAAAAAAACAAAAATCAACGACGTACAGTACAATTTAGTTATTGATGATATTCTTTAGTTTAATTCATGCATAGGTTTAGCAAAACACAATAACTTAATTTACCTAAATATACATATAAAAAACAATGTGATGTGCGCAAGTTATGTTAAGTTAATCTAACACATGTTAAGGAGTTAGAATTTATTTAAAGTAGCCTCCAAATTCATATAAAATATCTATACATTGTAATTTTCATACTGTTTCCATGAAATCATATTATTAATAACATTATTTTCATAACTTAGACGCTTAAAAAAATCCAAAACAGAGCCGGAGTTAATACAGCAACGGTTATAGAATCTTTTATTATATAATCATTGACATAGTTTTAGAATAAATAATCCATGATAAAAGGTTAGATTAAAATAAACCTACCTCAAAGTTATGGAAAATATTATATTTAATTTCTTTGTATCAGCTGTCTGAAATAGTGAAATTTGCAGTTTAGCAGTTCTTCTTGTTTAAATTTAAATGTCAAAGCAAATGTAAACAAACGTTGTTAGTGATCTCATCGCAGCCATGGAGACCAATCAATATTTACTTTTAAAATCTTCACCTCACGACCTTTAAAGCCAAAGGGACAAAGCCTACGGTCAGTATCGAAACGTGAATAGTCCTATATTGGTCCTTGGTATTGTAGCTATATTTTTGTAAAATTTAAGCCCAGTTGATTCAGTAGTTTTTGCACCTATTAGTAATACGCATACAGATAGACACCATTAGATTTTTATATAATAGTATAGATATATAGATTGGGGTGCAACTAAGGCATGTTTCAACACAAATGAATGGGAGTGTATACAAATTAGATGTGTTGTGTCGTTGTATCATTATTATCATTGTAATTTGAGATGTGGACGCCACCTATGTGAGTATTTTAACCCAAATATGAGTGAAGGATGAGTGTAGAATGGAGTGAGATGATCTGAGTAGAATTGTTATTGACCAAGATTACCTGTTTCTATGAAATCACAGTTTTCATTTGGAAGTTTAACAGGATTTACTTATTAACTCAAATGCATTTGGATTTGTATCAGGGCCTCAAAAATAAAATATCTGGAAACTGTTGGTTTTATTTTTCCCCCACCAAATTAGAAACAATAGTTGGACAGAGATATATCTAGTTTATTATGGAAGGATTGTCCATCACTCTGACATCAGTGATCATGTTCTTTGTTGTTGACAGCTGTCAGATGATTTGCCGTTTGAGAAGCTGTTGAGCCAAGCCACTGACTTGTATGACAAGTTTCCTCCAGAGAGTATAGAGCCTGAGGTCAAAGAAAGATGTCAGTTGGAGTAAGTACCTGTTATCAGAGACCGTGATTATTTGGAATTATAGGGATTGCATGAGACATACTTTTTGATTTTCATTTTAGTAAATCAAACTGACTGCAAGGTATAGGTTTGGAGAGAAAGGGCTTATTGCTTGAGAATAGGTGAATGAATGAATGAATGAATGAATGAATGAATGAATGAATGAATGAATTGAATGAATGAATGAATTCTTTATTATTTCAATACAGAACATCAGATTGAATGGTACATAAACGATTTATGAAATATGAATCCCCAAATGGGCTATATGCCTGTGGTTGGGGATTGAGTCAATCATCCGCACAAAAAACAATAATTTAGGCTACATTCAAAAAGGAAAATCTATATATATACATATTGTACACAGAATTAGTATACAAGAAAAAGATAAATAAGAAAAAAACTAGTTTACAAGATAAATATATACAAAACGATACAGTGTATGAAAAGTTAATGCACGCATATATCACGCGTTCAGTTTGCACGTTAAAAATGTAGGAAATTATCCCATTAGAAATACACATAATTAGAATTAACCGAGACTTGGCAATGCATTCCACACACAAAGCCCTAACACATTCACACAGACCACTCATACCTCACAAACTCACAAAGAACCTACACTCACCACAAACATGCATTCACAGCCACTACCTTCCATAGTACCCGCCCCGGGATCCACAGGCGGCTGGTAGCTCTTATTAAAAAAGCCGTCACTGCACTGTCCCTGTGGTCCAGCCTAACGGGGTACCCATGGCACACCACACACACACCCACCTCAAACTCACGCACACACACAACACACACAACATACACGCACGCAACGGCATAGATATACTGCAGATGTTGATGAAATGATAGTGGTATCTATATGTAAATGGAGGTGAAATAGTTTCTTATTCTGTGACGGCCAACTTCTAGTAACCATTTGTCAATAATTTTTTTGTATGTACGTAGACTGCAAGGAGGGGGGAATTTAATAATTAGTGGAAGTTGGGAATAAATTATGTTTGCAAGATAAAAAGACGAAGTGCTGTTTATTGATTTTGTTAATCTAGGAGTAATAATTCCATGATTAGTTGTTGATCTAGTATGGTATTGATGTGTAATATGTTGGAACAAGAACGTTTCATTTTTATGAATATACAGAATTATATTTTTTATAAAGAGTTGGGGTATATTAAGAACATTGAATTCGTTGAACAAAATATTTGAGGGATAACGGCGATTTTTTTTTAGTGCTATCTTGATAATAGATTTTTGAATTATTTCAAGTGGCGATAAAACATTTTGATAACAACCACCCCAAGCTAAGATTCCATATTGCAATAGGGATTGTACATAGGCATAATACACAGTTCTAATCAAGTCGGGGGGAAGTATCCTGTTGATGCGTGAAAAGATAAAAGATACTTTGCGCAACTTATTTCTTACATAATTAATATGGCAATTCCATTTTAGGCGGTTGTCAAAGATGATACCCAGATATTTATATTCAGATACTCTCTCAATGCACTCACACGTCACGCATTCATACAGCCTCGCACTTCCGCACGTGTGCAAACGCAGATGCAGGCCGACCGGGTCGTGGTCGGCTCTCACAGACACTGGCATATATTTGGTTTTGGATATGTTGACTGAGAGCCGACTCTGGTCGAACCACTGCTTGACAGTGCGAAGGCCCCGCTCAGCCACACGGTACACTTGCTCCCAGCTGTCCCCTTCAAAAAGTAAAACGGAATCGTCGGCATAAAGAAAAAGTTTTCCACCGTCCAATAAGACCCTACCTAGATTATTTATATAAATGAGGAACAACAGAGGTCCAAGCGAACTTCCTTGGAAAACCCCAAATTCGATCAATTGAGGTACACTGGAGGTGCGAGAAAGGATAGGATAAGCAGGCTCACCTTAAGAAATGTAGGCACCCCACTTCATTTGTTTTGTGTTTTCTTCTGTGTTCTGTAGTGAATGAAGTGGGATGCCTACATTTCTTAAGGCAAGCCTGCTTATCCTATCCTTTCTCACACCGATTGACTGCAAGGTATGGTTTAGTTATTGAAAAGCACTTTCAGTGTCCTTTTACAATATTTAAAGGAAGAAAAATTTTGCTTGGGTAATGAAAATCCATGTAATGATTACTAATATGATCTAATCACACCCAACAACTAATAGCCATTATGATTTAAAAATCCACATTGATAGATTTGGTTTAGTTTATGTCCAATATTTGTTTTATCAGAGCCCAGAAACGTCAGCAGGAGGAGGCTGAGAGGAAGGCGCTGGTGAGGCGGAGGGGTAGAGGTAGGGGCGACACATCGTGGGTGAGGCGACTGTGGGCCTGGCAGCCGCCCGTACACATACCTAACTACAAGATGCTGATACTCACTGCAAGTGTGGCGTTCGGCTTCTACGCCTACCTCAAGGCTGGTCCTGACGCAATAGACTTCACACCCAGGTAAATCATTGGTGGATTATTTTTTTTTGGGATTTGTAAAATTAATAACTTTTAGTCTTAATTGTCAATTTCCAATGGTTGTATCCAGTTTGTTTGGTGATCTTTGTTTGACATTTGTTCAAATTTATCTATGGATCTTTTGTTGTTTTAAGGATTCAGAAATACTATGAAGTCACCTTCATAATCTATGTTTTACAAACATTGCCCATCTTCCAACAATAATTGTTTTCAAAATTATTTAATTGTACTTCGAGACATGATATTTAGCTGGGTTTTAATTTCTACAGTGTAATATTTTATATTTTTATACTTACATGTTGTATTGTTTCCTTGCTCAACAACAATATCCTGCAGCAAGAAATAGCTGTTACAGTTGCATTTTTCTGTCTCACCCTGAATATAAATTAGATACTTGTCTAAGCCTTTGAGCCTTGGGTTTAAACACCTTCACAGACAATATGTACTCGGTAAATAGTACAATTGCTGTGGGATGGAGTTAGAGAAACCGTTTTTTATATTTAAAAATTTGGCCTCAGTGAATTAAGTGACAGAAGATCTATGACAATTGAGTAATCCTGTTTTAACTTGCAGGTAGCCTTCGCCCCTGTCCCAAGACTCCACCGAGCAGCCTTTGCAACGTCCTGTCTGTGATCACTGTAGTTCTTACATTAGATGTTGGTTCTACTTTTTGTGTTGGTAAAGATGTAATAGCTGCAAATTTTCCGCCTCATATGCTCTTTTGTTTATATTTGTCTCATATAATGGAAGCTTCACACTGTTGAATAGTTAATTTTTAAATTTATTGCCCGTCTTTATTCAAAGACACTGATTTGTTTATAGTGGCATCAAGTAAAATAAATTTTCGGTAGTGGTAATAAAACTATCAGTCACAGTTGGTTGTATAAAATTGTCGAGTTTAATTTTATTTTGAGGTTTTCGATCGCCAGCAAGTATCTTAATTGTTTGGATATTTGTTTCATAAGTAACCTATTTTTTTTTATAAGCCTCTAGTTTGGACTTTATAAGAAGTTGTATTGAATATTGTTACATCACTACGGTAGATTCCTGACTATCCACAATATATTCTATGATAATCAGTGGCCGAGTGATCGTCAATAACACAAACACACCCTAAAATGCCCGAGAAATAACTAACATTGACTTTAAATGTAGGGTTAAGCTTCAATTCTTGTTTAGGCATTGATAAAACGTTTTTGCAGAGTAGATATATATTTTAACTATGCTAAACACTTCTGTTTTAAAAACAAATTGGAGCACCTATATATAGACCTAAATTAAATAACTACAAAAACACACATGAAATGTAACTTATTAAAACATTGGTTGTAATCTAGGACTCATCGGCGGTCGGTTGAATAAACAATGGCAACTGTATAGTAGTGTCTGCGAGATGATGGGCCTCCTGAAGATAAACATCTTGGTCACTGTATTACTTACTTCCATAATATATATTTTATTTGCGATATTGGTTGCTTTGCAGCCTTGTTCATATTTTTAATTGAAATGTTGATGATGCTAAGGTAGATATTTGAAGCCAAGTATGAATGGAGATGAGTGGCACGATCTTGTAGTCTTGTTACTGACTAAGGACGACATATTTCTTATATAGACAAGACTGTTAATTAATAGCCCATAAAGCCAATGGCAACAAAGAGACCTACAGTTTATAGTGGAATCCGAACCACATTTTGCCTTGTAATTTACGATTTGGTCTAACTATTAGGATAATACTGCGGATGGTCGTAATACTCACTAGTACGGACGTTAATACATACCCGGGAGTATCACATTCAAAGATCATGCCTGTAATTATCCAAAATTCTTGGCCTCCAGCTGGATTACAGGACGATATATGGTGTTGCCAAATTTTTGTATTGGATGTTAATATATCTGTGTAGTTTGTTTCTATGTGATCTTCAGTCTCTTTGCCGATCGTATGGGATTAATTCACTTTTGGATAATTTGGAGTCTACTGTATTTAAGATGGGAACAAAACAAAATATGGGGTATTTTAACCCAAAGATGAGTGTAGAAAGAGATGCTTTACGCAGCTTTGTTGCCAAGACCAGCTGTTTCTTTAGTCAGAACCATTTAGTTTTTTGTCAAACCCTTTACATTTTTTGATTCTGATGGTCCAACCGAAAGTCTAAATCTGTCGCTATTTACTTTACGTACGAGGTACGAGTGAATCATCTGTCAAGCAGGGTTTTGTACTGTTTTGTGTTTTATATTCCTTGTTTATGTTTTTGAAATTGTTGTGATCACATAATCAACCCTAAACTGATGTCTTACTTATACATACAGTATTTTAATTTAAAGTTATATAGCATCCTGGCATGCTTCGGGTATTGTTGAAAAAGAGATTGTCTTGTAATTAAGTGCTTTCATATGATACCAAAAATTTATTGTAAACATAGTTTAATAACCTAAAATGGATGAAAATAAATTAAGTTAAACATTTGAAACCTTTTCGCAATTCTGTAATGATATTGTTTAGAATTTGATCACCTCCTTTTTAAATGTTTTTAAAAGTGAAAATTATTAATAATTTCTTCTTGTAGAATTAATTTAATTCAAAACAACTTTCTAAGCTCAAAAACAAAAATGTTATCCTCAGCTTAATCTGAATTAAAAAAATATTCATTTCATATTTTAACTACTTATTTCCTGAAAACATGTTAATAATTATACATGTAGATATCAGGAAATGTAATTCACATAATTTTTGCTATCATAGAATTTGTTTGTAGTCTGAATGTAATTAAGTATTGAATGTTACAGCTTGTAAATATAAAAAATATGAGTATTTTACCACACTGAAGTGCTCAATCTGAAGTGTATTTATATATAAAACATAACCTCAAATTTCCGGCCAGTAGTCTAAAATAGATTGTGTTTTTACCATGCTTTTTGGTTTAAAATGACTTTCTACATTAAGTAAGATTACATTTTTTTTCTAATTCTGATGCTGTGTATCAGGCTTTATCGTTTACTTCTAGATATGTTTGTGTTGGAATGAATAGATGGTAAAATTTTAATGTGTTAATTGTTTTTTTTTTATAAAGAATCGATAGGTGTAGATTAGATATTTTGTTATCAACTTATTGTGTATTAAGTTTTATTTTGTACTATGGGGACCTTTCTTCTGTTAAAGCTAAGTTGCTTTTTCAATGCCAGTTTTGATTATATGGTAACATCCCTTAGAATTGTGAAATGTGGGAGTGGCACGTCCCTTAGGGTCCCGTTTGGGGGCGGCACATGCCCCAAAACAATAAACATGTGTAATTACTTAAACTTGAAATAATATCAGCCAAACAGACTCATTTTATTTATGTGTTAAGTCTAACACGCAAACAAGATTTTGAATATGGGTTGTAAATAAATTTATTCAGTATGAAAATATTTTTAAAAATATTTAGAATAATGTTAAAAGTTAGATGATTTGCACCTAAATGTGTTTAATTATTTTAACGATTGGCCTCTCTTTGGAGTTTATATTCATTACAATTATGTATGTAAACTGCTATTAAATTTGCTCATATACCCTCAAATTTTAAATAACAGATAAACATAGATTATCTGAATGTGAATGTTCACAAAACAGTCAAACATAAATTATCTGGATCCACAGTCAGCCGTTGTAGATTCAAAATAAATTTGACATAAAAAAAGATAGCTGTTCTCACAATTATTTTTTGTTTTTGATAGTATGGCAATAGAAGCCCATTTTTTTCAAATTTGTATCACCTAAGAACATTATTTTTGAAGCTTTAATTTTAAGTGTATTCAAATGATTTGACTACCCAAATCACTCCCGACAAAACTTGTTTAGATAATTATTGCTCTTAATTTTTTCAAACCGTTTTAAGGAGACTTTGTTCCAAAAAAAGCTATATAACGTGAATTTATGTATTCTTGGTAAAAGACTCTAGGGATTAAGTCGGGTTTTCCTGAGCACGGAAGCGGAGATTAGACTCCTCTTGACGGAATTCTATGTTCCTGTTTTCCTAGAAGCGAAGTGGAACGCCATGTTAATCACTTCTCTGCTCTCCACGCCTAGGGAAACCTGGCTTTACCTTTAGCAGTGGGCAGTTAGAAGAGTGTTTCCTAAAAGAAGACCCTCCCGTAACCCTGCTCTTTCTCTCATTATGTTGATTTAATATTGTTGTACAATACTTTTGAGTAGACAAACCTTATAGCCAGCTGTTTCACTGTAAACCAGAATTTAAAGACCATGTGGGCTGTCTTAACCAAATGACCAATTATAAATTAAGCTGGTACTTAAATTGATTGTTGAGTTAGCAACACTTGCAAATCTGCTACTATTCTCAGTTGTAAGGTAAACAGGTCCACGGTTTGTAAGTGATGAGCCTGATAGATAATTGCGCCCCCAACAAACCTAAAACTCTTGCGCCAATGGTAAACCTATCAAAACAGCCCTGAAAAGTAAGGAAGCAGTAGTAGGCTGTATTCAGAATACCAGACCCATTTATTATACAAGACCCCTCAAAACTTGAATTTTACTTTCATTGTTGATGTTAGCCTCTGGATTACGTTGAATATAAAAATTGGTGTAAATACCTGCTTCTTGTAATCCAAATTGTTGCTGTTATGACGCAACTAGTTTCGACTTATCATGAAGTCATCTTCGGGCGTCCAGGGGATGTCAAATCACTTCATCAGAAGGTCGTCAATACACACATACGTTCATACACGAACATGGTCACGGTTACGAACAAAAACACAGACACGAACATTGAAACGAAAAAAGTACGATTTAACGAGTAAAAGCTAAAAATGGTAACACCGGTGAGGATTATGCGTCACGGCCGGATGGATGTTAGTCTAGACGCTACATCCATCCGGCCGTGACGCATAATCCTCACCGGTGTTACCATTTTTAGCTTTTACTCGTCAAATCAAATCGTACTTTTTTCGTTTCAATGTTCGTGTCTGTGTTTTTGTTCGTAACCGTGACCATGTTCGTGTATGAACGTATGTGTGTATTGACGGCCTTCTGATGAAGTGATTTGACATCCCCTGGACGCCCGAAGATGACTTCATGATAAGTCGAAACTATTTGCGTCATAACAGCAACAATTTGGATTACAAGAAGCAGGTATTTACACCAATTTTTTAATTTTACCTCCAAATTTATAAACTAAATTCCATTAAATTCTGGTACAAAGAATTATTATTAAGGTAACATTATTTCTCATTGATTGAGATTGTCTACTTCAGTATTCGAGAGTTATGAATTGTCAGATTGTAGCATTGACTATTGGATACTGAAGTTGTATTAATAGTCAAAGATTGTAGACAGTGGCTTGAAAAGAAACCCTAGTATTTAATTTTCAAATAGGTCTGATATTGCAGTTATTTGTTTGTATATTAACAGAGTCTAACGAATGTTGTTCAGCTACCGATTGTACATAGTTGTTGTTCCTTAAATTTTGTTATTTGATATAGCAAATTATTTTGTATTGAAGATGCTTTTATGTGCACATTTTTACTATTCTTTTTATGGTGTTGTTTGATGTAGATATTTATTTTAAATACAATAAGGAAGAGTTGAAACTGTGTTATTTATTCAAAACATACCTAAAAACATTTGTTTTATTCAACTATTTTTTATTCTAAAAATTAATTGAACATAAATTGCCTCTTATACAAGGCAGCGGCGTTGTTATGTGGCAACAGTAATAACTAATAAAATAACAGAAATAACAAAAGTATAAACATAAACATTGCCTACAATCCTTTATGTATTTGGGCAACTCAGCTGTTTTGTTTTGACGGAACAGCCATGTTGCAATTTTTGTCTCGCCGTGGCCTTGTTTTAGAGGAGGCTATGTATGTACCCATCCTTCTTAAAGGTTCAATTGAAGACAATTTTGAGGTTTTTTAAGTTTATTGTTTACTAACTTTAACTTGTATTTGAAAACTGCTGCTTGTGCTCTAGTATTATGGACTAAATAGAAAAGCACAAACATTAAAAATTTTGATAACATCAAGTTAGGACCATTATATATGCACCCGTCATAGAACCATTATCACACTTGATTGTTGTTACTTTGGATGGACATGAAACCCACCAGAATAAGCATCAGATATGCAACAAGACAAACAGTAATGTATACAGTCAATGCTTTTATTTTACACGCTAGCTAACCTCAGTTATTACTGCTTTATTTTAAGGTTAGTTTTGAGAACAGTTGGGCTTAGGCTACTTTAGTCCAATGACCACCAGTCTTAAAATACTTTAGGCAAACGCAAATATGTAATAGTGTGCAGAGGTGCCCATCCCCCCCAAACCCAGAGGCGCAACCCCCCCCCCCCCCCCAAGCCAAAGGAGTAGTCCCCCCCAATTTATGCTGCCGTCTATTTAAACCTACCCTCCACCTGCCAATGTATCTGACAATTTCCCCTTTACCTCATAAAACGAGCATTTCAAGTATTTAGTAAACTTGAGGTAAAGAAAAACAAACCTGCTGATAGTCAATATTAAATGTTTAATAGGAAACGTCATTTAACAATACATCATTATATCTAACTAACGGACAAATTAGAAGTTTTTCAATTTACAATTCAGAAACTGTATTGTCAGCCAACATGTGATCAATATACTTGGTGAAATACTCTACTCCAACACAGTATTGTAACTGTACAATATATTAGGTGGCGTTAGTTTTTACAGGGCTTAAGAATTCAAACAGCTTTAAGAGCATTAATAATACTTTGACAAAAAGTACGGTATCTGGTTTCAAAATTATAGGCCTAGAGTCACGAAATAGGGCAGACTTGTTGCTCGCCACTCCCAGGCTGCCTTCTACAAAAATCGCCGGGCAAAAACACAAAATACCTTAATTGCCACTAACTTAGCACAAAAGGTTTTTGTGTCGAAGTAATCTTATAATTCATTTTGATAGCCCCAGGATTGCCTTTTATGACTAATAGTGGTAGAAACGCATCTTGTCAGACAATCCTTAATAATATTATTAATTAATTATTTTTTTGTACAGTAGTGTCGTATTTTACTTGCTACACATGTTTTGGTGGTTCTTTAACATATTTAGACTTCCATATGTAACATACACCATCGTCAGACTTATAAAAGGATCGACTTCTGGAGGTGTCGTCAGAATATGTTACAAACATTTAACACAAAACACGAAACGATTACAGGGTTAGGGTTCACTTACTCTACGAATCATTGACACTATGAGCCTCCAAATATGTAATTCTTAAAACACATGGCTCACTTACTCTACAAATCATAGTCTATACGAGCTTCGTAAATAATATTGAAGGTTCACTTGCACTACAGGCTCGTATACTATACGAGCCGATCAAAAATATCAAATAAATGAAGAGGGTTCACTTACTCTACAGATCATAGTGCCTATGAGCCAAGCGTATGAATTCTTGAATAATTCAGGAATAAGCTCGTATAGTATACGAGCCAAAATACTGAATTTAAATAAATTACAGGAGTAGGCTCGTATACTATACGAGCCTATTTCATGATAACTATTACACAAATAGAAGACGGCTCACTTACTCTACAGTTCATTGGCACAATGATCAGTAGAGTAAGTGAACCCTCTACAAATATTAGAAGGCTCACTTACTCTACGGTTCATTTAGCTACTCGTCGCGTGGTATGCAGCGCATCGTTGCAGGCGTGTATGGTAAACCAATACAGTACCGCAGTTCTGCCGTTCTGCCTTACTTCTGCCGTTTACTATTCTTGCAGCGTGAAAGAGAGTATGTTAATGCATTGTTGAATTTTTAACTTGTGTACTCGTTGCTAGAAATCAAGCAATTATCAAGTACCGGTATTACAGGAGCTATTAGCGAATTTCCCATATAGGGAATAAGCTATTACCGTAGTACTCATGGTAAGACCTGGACGTGGGACCGATTTTTTTTTCGTTTTGAGGTTCCTAGAGGCCAAAAACACCATCCGTTCAAATTCATATATATATATATTTATATATTTATATATATATATATGTGTGTCCGTTAGCACGATAACTCGAGCAAAAATAATCCGATTTTGATGAAATTTGGTACAAACGTGTAAACCTACGTTTATTCGAACGAGTTCGCAATCCAGCATGATCGGACCATGGGAACGGGGGTTTACGGGGGGTTTTATGGGGTAAAAATAGGTTTTTCCCATTTTTGACCCAAAAAACATAAAATTTAGCAATTTCTTTTCAAACCATTTTGTAGAGCTTAAAAAAACAAATAATTTAGTATATTGAAGCGTTATTATGCGCCTAATGGTTACGGAGAAAATTCCAAAAAATTGTA